CATGACTTCTATAGCAAGCATAGCATGACTTCTATAGCAAGCATAGCATGACTTCTATAGCAAGCATCTTATTTGCTTACAACGTAAATCACATTAGCAATATATTTACAGCAAAACCACGAACCATATGTCAAGCTTTAGATGATCTCATGGGATTAAATAAAAATTGTTAATGTTGTCAGATAGTTACTCTATTCTAGCTGCACTAAAAATTATAATATATTAAATCACCAAAAGTTACTCACAGATTAGCCAGCAAAATTTTCATCCTATCGCATGTTCATACTCAAAGTAAACTACTTTAGACAACGGGACACTCGGAAATTTTTTGGAATGATCCGGCGGACAAACTCGCAAAATCGGTTACGGTGTCCAAAATTTACATCGACTGGATTATTTCGGAGGATATCCATAGCAAGATCCACCGAAAAAGAATGGAAAAAACCAATGAAAATATTTATTCATGTAAATATTTTGAAAACTTGGAAAACATTCCGACTATAGACAAAATATCCAAGTGGACAAAAAGCAGAAGAGAGGAAATTCTCATCACTCGAATCATCTGCAAAATGATCATAACTCCTGTGCTTTTACACAAATTCCATCTACAGGATAATGCAATATGTATATAACATATACATATTGCATACAATTATATATAGCACATGTAACTATATCAGTAATTCGGAAGATATCCTTTTGAATTGTATTAAATATACTTCCCATAGAAATCATTGCTGGAATATACTCAATATAATCTTACAACGCAATATTAATTTCAAAGAACTTTGGGAAACATTAGTAGATAGTAAACAAGTGTTCAGAATATTCCTGCAAAAGTTGAAACACTTTGATACCTACTGAAGGAAAATATCTATATCCCACAAAAACCAATTAATCAAACGAGTATAATGAGCTTTTTAAAAATACATTAATGTACTTATCACCGTTTGCCAGCATGGAGCTTGTTGAATGGATGTTTTTTTCCTCATCATATACTTAGATAAAAAAAATAATAAATATAGAAGTAAATTAAAGATAACATTTATCCTCTTTCCCACTTAATTTGTTCTGTGCAGTCTCAAATATTCCATTAATTTTTTCCTTTTTTCCACTCGTTGTATTTATTTGTTTTTTCTTGATGCAAAGATAAAAAGAAGTAAACAATAAAAAAAACATAAATCATTTAATTTAATTCAGTCAACTCCCTTTTTGGAGAAGTTTTTGGAATCTGTAATGGGTGAAATATTTGTGCGTGGGAAAGAGAGAGTGCCTGAGGGAATCTTGGTTGAAACCGTGTCAGCTGACGGTACGTAGCGAGAATTTTACGAAGTACGTAGACTTGTGGGCATTAAACTTCTATCAGGATCGATATTTGATTCTACAATTGTTCTTCCGAGTACCCAGTGCAATATTAGCGTGAGTGCATAAATAAAAATCTAAGTGAGGAGCCATTAAAATGAAAAAAGACTTTAAAAATATATTTAAGAATCAGTGAATAAGTAAACATTCATTGAAGATAATAGCTGTCTTGAGGAGGTAGGGGTAGGATGGAAATCTTGAATTCTTATTGGTCGGTGGGCGTTTCCAGCGAAATCTGTGCAGATGATTATGCTAGTCTTGATGAAAATTTTGATAAAACTTGGTTTTTAAGATAGGATTATGAAAAAAAAAAAAAAAGGTAATAGGTAAGAATTTTTAATTTAGATGAGTTTAGCCGTTCCTTGGAGAAAAATATTCATTTTGTTTAGATTGTTGTTGTTAACTTTGTTCATTTGTTTTCAAGTGATCAAAAGTGCTTGGAAGAATTATGAGTCTTATTGAGAATTATGAATGGATTTGGGAATAACCAGTTTTTTTTTTTTTTTTTGGGGGGGGGGGGGGGGTTTTTTTTTTTTTGTTGGGTTAGGTGCAGGATCTGAATTTTTGACCGGGTTACATACGCTTGCGTATGATACCTTTTCTTTGACAAAATTTGAATTGTAGGGACGATTTCTATTTAGTACTTGTGTTGTGACATGGCCTTTTTAGGAGTAGGAAATTTAGAACAACCTGCCCAAGAAGCAATATGTCCTGAGTAGTTGCAGTTAATGCAGGTTGGGTTTGTTAATTTCTCTTTTATTGTGCAATCGCGAGTGCCATAGTTTACCTCAATTTAGACATCTGGATTTAGCACTGCAATTCTTGTATGAATGATTAAGGTAGTTACATTTGTAATGCTAGGTTATGCTTTATCTAATTTTATACTGATATATTTTTATTGTCATCAGGAGGCATTTTTTGAGTTCAAAAATTTTACTGACATTCTTTGTCCTAGTTAATTCTAGTAAAAATATTAGTAGAGGCCTTTTAATCTTGAATTGTCTAAGTTGAGCTACTTTTCCATCGCAAATTTTAATTTTTCAAGGACCCATTTGATCTCTTGGATATCACTAAATACTGGTAGTCATTTTAAAATAATTTTCAGAGACTTTTGAGATTTTGGTGGGATTATATGATAGTCAATTTTGTCATCTTTTAAGAATGCAGTAATCTATTTGTGGCTGTCGCTACAGTTAGGATAAATCTTTAAGTAGTCTCCTGAGAGAACTGCTTCTGTATTAAGGGCTATTTTTATTATTTCTTGGAGGATTAAGTTGTAATTTGGGCTGATTCTCCTCATGACTACTGGAATCTTATCTTTTTGAGATAGACTTTAATGTGGTGTGAAATTTTAGTTGTCCTTTGATTGATCTAGGAGTTAATCTAGAAAGGAAAATTTATTTGCAGTAGGAATTTTGGGCGTTTTGTCTGGTTTCGTGATCCTTACCTTTTTTTTACAGGGGAACGAAATTCAAAATTTCCTCTACATATAACCTTTTTCTATATTTTAGGACATGAAGGAGGGAGGGGAGGTTAAAAATATTACACTTTAACTACTTTAAGGAAATAACCCTTAACGTAAATATAGTTTTTTCACTCTGGTCACGGAGAGAGTTCTAAAATCTTACCTGTCAGATCTTTTCTGGTGTAATCTTTACGTAACTATTTATCCTACTTTGCGTTGAAGATTTTCGAAGTCAAGTGAGTTACAGCGATATATGCATCCATATTGCTATGTCGCTTTGATTGCGACCAAATTCATCTGCGAGCTTCTTTAGCTGCGAGCATCTGGTATCAGGAATTGATTCTCCTTAGTTTGGAACATCATCATTATGATCATCCATCAGTACGGATGCTGAGTCATCGATCGTTTCGACTGTTACAGCGCTAGGTTCTGGTGGAGGCTGGTTGGTTTGGTTGGGCGTGTTCCGGGGTTTTCTCTGATAACCCAACTGAAGTACGAGCCATGAATGCGAATTTAAGTGTTTGCGCTTTTGGAGAGCTGAAGATACAAGGATTGAAAAAGATTTGAAACCACTGACTATAGTTCTAAATTTCCCTCCACCACGTTGCAACCACCCCCGAACTCAACATTTATTGATTAATCAAAACTCTTTTTTAACATGATAAAGTGGGCTATAACAGAACCTGTTAAAGCATATAAAATAAAGAGATTACTTTGTTTCAAATCACAAAGGTAAGTAAAAGTGTTTAGCAAAAGGAAATATAGAGACAAGGAGGAAAATTTAGTCTAATTTGTACCCAAAAATAAGAGGTATTAGAGGTATTTTCTAAGCAAAAATATACTTAATACTACTCTTCCTACAACCAAATTAAATTATTTGTTACAAAGTTCTTACAATCATATTAATTATTTAAAAAGTATACACTCAAAATCAAAGACCGAAAGAATACAAAAGCTAAGAATAAAATGCCACATAGCATTGACACCAAAATAGCAGAGGAAATAATATCTAACAACGGTTAAACTAAGGACAAGGATGACACCTGAGCTAGCATCTCACTCTCCAAACTTCAATATTGTACCGCGCTCCGGGTTCGTGTTGACTGAGAGTCGATGAAACAATCCTTTAAAAATCTCAAGACTTTTATCCGTCGCAATTTCTACAGGACGCAGGAAATTCCAGCAGTAGATATCACAATTTCACAGCTCTAATTCCACTAATTTCACAGGAAACAGCTTCCAAATGCATTAGTCTTCAATATCTCAGACAGATAACAGCTGCTATGCACTTGACTAGCAATAAAAAAATGACCGTCTTCACTACTACTTGCTTCTGTTGAAAGCTCTACGGGTACCTAGGCAGTGTAACCGCCTTTCAACTCGTGTCTTGCTGGGAACTGTGAGACGACTGGAGTTATTGAAGTTACCTGGGCTGGTTTCTTTTACGTGATTGGTTGTGAAGGAGTGCGGGAGGAGTGGGTGGGAAACCAATGGGAAGCTTGCTTTCGCTTCTGCTGGAGTTAGTAGTGATATTATAGTAGAAGTTGGAGGATGGTGAGAGTGCTATCTGCTATTGGCTGTCCTGGAGTATGGCTTAAGTTAAATAAGAGAGGGAGGTGGGAAGGGCATGCTCAGTAGGGCAGTCGTGGCTGAGTGGTTAGGCGAACACATCTATAAAGAAAGCATGCCGCATCCAAATGTGATACATGGGTTCGAATCCCACCGACCGCCAATGTTTTTTGTCACTAGCATAAACGAATTAAGTAGTGATCATAATCCCATCATCATCGATCTTCTTCTAAACAATATCCTCCCTCCTGATCTTAGAACTCATAAATCAACGAATTGGCTTAAATTCCAAGAAATTATACATCAAACCATGCCTGGGAATCCCAAGATTGAACACAATGAAATAAAAGACGCCATCAAGGACTTCAACTCCAAAATTATTTATGCAATCAACTGTTCTTCCACTACAAGAGTGATTAACACCCCCCACCTCAGACTCCCTCTACATATCAGGAATCTCATCAAAACTAAAAATAGGTTCAGAAAACTCTGGAATCAGACTCGTTACCACCCCTACAAAAGGGAAGTAAACTCCTTAATTAGACAAATACGCATCTTAATTAATGATCACAAAAATAGAAGCTAGAAAATCCTACTTGATAATCTCAGCCCCGAGGATAATTCTTTAACTTGAACAGAATTATCACTCGTAAAGCTTACAATTTTCCACCCCTCCTTGGCTCGAGTGGAATGGCTTACTCTGATTTTGAGAAAGCGGAAGCTTTCAAAAATACCTTTGAAGCTACATTCCAAGAAAAAGCTTTTCCGTATTCGGACGAAAAAATAGAAGTGGAAAGAGTCGTCTCTGATTTCCTCGAAAATGATCAAACTCTCTCCAACATCCCCCCTCCTTGGCCACCTCAAACGAAATTAAACAAATAATATAAAACCTTGTAAATAAGAAAGCTCCAGGTCCAGATACTATACCAAATATTGCTCTTAAATATCTTCTGGACAAGGCAATCATCAATCTGACTAAAATCATTAACAAGTGTCTCGTGGCAAATTACTTCCCTAAAAAATGGAAAGAAGCTACAATTGCTATGATCCCAAAACCAAATCAAGATCATAAATTCACTCAAAACTACCTGCCAATCAGTCTTCTAAGCTCCACTGCAAAAAATTATGAAAAAATCTTACTAAATAGAATCAAAATCTATAACAACATTGAAAACTGCATCCCCCCAGAACAGTGTGGATTTCGAGAGGGCCATTCTACTATCCACCAACTAACCAGAGTGACCAACATTATTAATGAAGGTTTCTCCCATAACCTATTTACTATAGGCATTTTCTTGGATGTTAAAAGAGCATTCGATAGAATGTGGCACGATAGATTGATTTATAAAATAATCAACTTCAAATTTCCTTTCTATCTTATCAATATTATCAACAGTTTTCTCCACGACAGATCATTCAATGTAAAAATTAAAAATAGTTATTCAAATAATGGAACAATGGCTGCTGGCTGCGCTCAGGGGTCGATTTTAAGTCCTTTTTTATATAATCTCTTCACCTCTGACTTTCCACACCATGCTACTGTCAGTGTGTGTCTCTTTGCTGATGGCTCTGCTGTTTTAGCTCAGGGGGCTAACTTAAAATATACCATCAAAGCTCTCCAAAATTATCTCAACATCTTAGAACTTCGGTTAACGGACTGGAGGATAGCAATCAACGTCGATAAGACTCAAGCAATAATCTTCAAAAAGTATGGCACAATAAACCCCAACATTAATCTAAATATTTTGTGATTCAGAGATAAACTGGGTCTCGGTAGTACGCTACCTTGGACCTCAGTTAGACTCCAAACTCACATATAAGCAGCATATCAAATTCCTGACTGAAAAATTCTGGAATAAAATTCATTTATGTATTTCACTCATAGGCAGAAACTCTTCTCTCATTAAACAATAAAGTCTTACTCTACAAACAGATCCTTCGCCTAATCATCACCTACGCCGCCCCTGTTTGGGGTTCGGCCGCTCAAACTCACATGAAAAAGGTTCAAATAATGCAAAACAAGATTCTCAAAATAATGACAAATTTTCCCTGGTATATAAGAAACAATGTAATCCACAATGATCTTCAAATTGAACCAATTGTTTCATATATCACTAAGCTCTCTCGAAATCTCTTCACCTCCATTTTCAATCACAATAATCAAATTATTAAGGCTCAAATTCTTTTTACAAACCCACACTCCAAATTCAATTTTGCATATAAAACTACAAAATGGTCCCTCCCACTTAAACCCCCATAACATTCTTCATTTTTCACAATTATTCCACATAGTTTTTTATGACCCACTATATCCATCAATTTGAGCAAAAGCGATGACTCGCTGACGCTCGTCAGTTTTTCTTATGTCTGCCTGCCTGCATGCTCAGTATTGGGGTTTTGAAATTTTAAGACAATCTAGATATGTTTAAGAGAAAATTAATAGTTTAAAGTTAATACACTTATGCAAATTATTATGGGGACTCATAAGAGTCAAGAAGAATAATTCTTGGTCTCTTTGTTTCATTATTAGATTGATAAATTTCTAAGTTTTTCATATTTGGATTATTGTTATTTTGTAGGGATGTAAAAAAGTTTTTTGAGATGGTTTGCATGTGCTTACGGAAGGTATTTATTTTTAGAGCTTTGCGAATATCTGAGTTTTTCATGAATCATCTTGCTTTGGTTATCATTCTGAGGGTTGTATTTTGAATAGTTTCAAGAATTTTAATATTAATTTTGCTAGAAAACCCCCAAACCGGGCATGCATAAGTTATTACTGGGTGCATAACGGAGGTGTAGAGAAGTAGCTTATTTTCTAAGGTCATTTCAGAATTCCGTCCAATTAGGGGGGGGGGGGGGTTTTCTAGTTAAGCTACGGAATTTTTCGCGCGAGTGTAGTAGGTGTTGTCGGAAAATGAGTTTTTTTTTTTTATCAAAAATTATACCGAGGTATTTTGTGGACTCAGACCAGGGAGTTTGAGTGTCGTAGAGTGTGGGTGGTGGTGGGAGGGTTTTTCTTTCTTGTGAAAATAACTGTTGCAGATTTTTCTACGTTAATTTTGATTTTCCATGTGTTGAAGTATTTTTCAAGCTGCTTGAGGTGGAGGTTTAGGGCTTTAATAACGGTTTTTGGATTTTTATATTTTGCAAGCACAGCAGTGTCGTCTGCATATAAATTGATACTTGTTGGAGAGTAATTCAGAATATCATTAATACAAATATTAAAAAGGATTGGACCAAGTAAAGAGCCCCTATACCATTTTTGATTTCAGAAGTGTTAGAAAGGGAGGTTCCAACTTTAACCTAGAAAGTTCTCTCTTTAGCATATGAGTAAATGAGTTTGATGAGGGGGGGAGTTGTTTGTAATTAATTTGTAAATTATGCCGTCAATCCAAACTATGTCAAAAGCTTTTTGAATATCTAGGAAAACGACACCTGTGAATTGACGTTTTTCAAGGCCTGAGGCTATTGTTTCTGTCAGTTTAAGTAGTGTAGAGAGTTGTTTAACGAAGCCATATTGATTAGGATTTATAAAATTATTGGTGTTTATGTGTTCTTTTTTTAATCTGTTGAGTACAATTGATTCTGTTAACTTGTTGAGGGTGGAGAGTAGTGAAATGGGTCAGTAACTGTCTGGTGAGTGAGAGCTTTTTCCAGGTTTTAGAATGGGGAAAATTATGGAAGTTTTCCAGGATTTAGGAAAGTGTTTGAGAATTTAAATTTTATTAATGAGGTAACTATGTGAGAATGAAGATAATTTTTAGTGGTAGGTTTTTTAACATTTTGTTAGTAATTTCATCTTTTCCAGGTGCCTTTTTTTGGATTTACTTTTTTGATGGAGTCGATGATTTCATCCGGGCAGGCTGGTTCGATGAAATTGTTAGTATTGGAACGAAAGAATTCATTAATTTTGTTGTTTACTTGGTTATCTATGTTAGTTTCAAAGTTAGTTGGTCTAGGGTTTTCAAGGAAGTTGGTGGCCAGGGCATCTGCAAGAAAATTCGCTTTTTGTAGATCAGTTACGGCTGTGCCTTTATTTGAGATGAGCAGGGGTATGTTTGGTTTTTTCTTTTTGAAAATGTTGGTTGTTTTCCATTGAGAGTTGGCCTGTGTATTGAGGGCTTGCAGTCTAGATTCTGTTTAGATCAGCTGAGATTCTGTTTAGTTGATTTTTGATACATGGGTCGAGAGTTCTTTGGTATAATTTTCTAATTTTGTTCTTTTGAGTGATGAGGTTTTTGATATTATTGGGAGTGTAGGTTGAGTTATTGTTTTTGATGGGTGATGAGGCTTGTTTGTAAGCGTTTAGAATTGAGTCAGTTAGATTTGTAATTTTATTTTCGAGTTGAGGTGGAGAGTTTATGTTAATGTAATCAAGGTAATTAGTGTTATTATTTATGCATTTGGAGAAATCTGACCAGTGTGTCTTGTAATGTTTGTGAGTTTTTGTTTTTGTGAAATGAAAATTGAAAGTAAGCATAACTGGGTTATGGTCAGAAGAAAGCTCCGGAATTGCAGTAATTTCAAATTATGTCCAAATCGAGGGGGGGAAAGCTATTTGTAAGTCTAATTTGTCTGCGAGGTTTTTAAGTTGAATGCCTCTTGTTGAATTTTTCCTGCAATTCCAATAATTGTGCGTGGCGTTAAAATCGCCAAAAATCACACAATTTGTGTTAATTTACAGGATGTTTTCAAGGTCTAGTGTGAATAATCTTTTATCAGAGGATGAGGGAATGTAAATATAGATGAAATAGGGACTGTATGGTTATTAAATGGAGTAAGGGTGATGGTTGTTGCTTCAATGTGTTTGAGTGGTGTGGTAGTTTGTATGTGGAGTGCTATATTATTTTGATAAGAATCAGGGTGCCTTCAGATGAAATGTTGTCTGTGTTCCGATCATTTCTATAAATTTTATAATTAGCTAAGTAAACATTGAGATTAGGTCTGTGTCTTGTCTCTTGAATTAGTTTAGTTCTTGTCTGTGTTTAGTCTCTTAACATATTTAACTTTCGTCAGTCCTACTCGACGAGTCTTAGTAAAATCAGGACACGACTAAAACAACACTGCTTCTCGGTTAGTGCGGCCGAATAAAAGCGCAAGCCTTCAGGTAACATAATTTAAAAGCTCTTAAGCTGGTGGCTTAATTTTCTAATTTTCACACT